AATAGAAACGAACCGTTACAATTTCTGCCATCTCCTACAAAACCACTTTTACATGAACAAGTGTAGTTGCCAACTGTGTTTGTACAAGACGCGTTAGAGTGACAAGTATGAGCATTGGTTGAGCATTCGTCAACATCTAAGAACAAATATGAGATACACTTAAAAATTGCCACTGTAATTAAGAAACAAACTTTTGATAACTCTATAAAAAAAACATACAAAATTAGGTTTTTCATATCATCGCAATTTAAGACCAGCATAAATTGCCTAGGAGATTCAGTATATAAAGAACATGATATTTTCCAGAAAATAAGGTATAATCCCAAGTTTATATGTAGGAATACCTTATATGCATTTAAAAAAGACGAAAATTAACAAAGGACACATGGCCAATACAAAACAATTCCATGATGTTTTAAACAGACGTTCATAACTCATTTTTCTTTTTCAATTGTACACGTGACATTTTGTAAAAGTAGATACAAACCTGTACAATTTCTGCCATCTCCTACAAAACCACTATTACATGAACAAGTGTAGTTGCCAACTGTGTTTGTACAAGAGGCGTTTGAGTGACAAGTGTGAGCATTGAGTAAGCATTCCTCAACATCTAAAAACAAATATGAAATACATTTAAAATGATATCACAATTACGAATTCTATAACAGGAATTAACAAAATAAAGTTTTCAACATCATGTCAATTAAAAAACAACATGTATTCGTCAAGAGAATCAATAAAGGAAAGAACAGAACATGTTTCTACAAAATAAGGTACAAAATCAACATTGAATAAAGGAATACCTTACAAGCATTGAAATCAACACGAAAATTACCAAAGGACACATGGGAAAAACAAAGCAATCCCAGGATTTTTTTAAACAGATCTTCATAACAATTTTTTGTTCTGAAAGAGTTCACACGATACTTTCTTTAATAGAAACGAACCGTTACAATTTCTGCCATCTCCTACAAAACCACTATTACATGAACAAGTGTAGTTGCCAACTGTGTTTGTACAAGAGGCGTTTGAGTGACAAGTATGAGCATTGAGTAAGCATTCCTCAACATCTAAAAACAAATATGAAATACATTCCAAATGATATCACAATTACGAATTCTATAACAGGAATTAACAAAATAAAGTTTTCAACATCATGTCAATTAAAAAACAACATGCATTCGTCAAGAAAATCAATAAAGGAAAGAACAGAACATGTTTCTACAAAAAATAGGTACAAAATCAACATTGAATAAAGGAATACCTTACAAGCATTAAAACCAACACGAAAATTACCAAAGGACACCTGGGAAAAACAAAGCAATCCAAGGATTTTTTTAAACAGATCTTCATAACAATTTTTGTTCTGAAAAAGTTCACACAATACTTTCTTTAATAGAAACGAACCGTTACAATTTCTGCCATCTCCTACAAAACCACTTTTACATGAACAAGTGTAGTTGCCAACTGTGTTTGTACAAGACGCGTTAGAGTGACAAGTATGAGCATTGGTTGAGCATTCGTCAACATCTAAGAACAAATATGAGATACACTTAAAAATTGCCACTGTAATTAAGAAACAAACTTTTCATAACTCTATAAAAAAAACATACAAAATAAGGTTTTTAATATCATCGCAATTTAAAACCAGCATAAGTTGCCTAGGAGATTCAGTATATAAAGAACATGATATTTTCCAGAAAATAAGGTATAATCCCAAGTTTATAGATAGGAATACCTTACATGGATTTAAAAAAGACGAAAATTAACAAAGGACACATGGCCAATACAAAACAATTCCATGATGTTTTAAACAGACGTTCATAACTCATTTTTCTTTTTCAATTGTACACTTGACATTTTAAAAAAGTAGATACAAACCTGTACAATTTCTGCCATCTCCTACAAAACCACTATTACATGAACAAGTGTAGTTGCCAACTGTGTTTGTACAAGACGCGTTTGAGTGACAAGTATGAGCGTTGGTTGAGCATTCGTCAACATCTAAAAACAAATATGAAATACATTTAAAATGATATCACAATTACGAATTCTATAACAGGAATTAACAAAATAAAGTTTTCAACATCATGTCAATTAAAAAACAACATGTATTCGTCAAGAGAATCAATAAAGGAAAGAACAGAACATGTTTCTACAAAATAAGGTACAAAATCAAAATTGAATAAAGAAATACCTTACAAGCATTAAAACCAACACGAAAATTACCAAAGGACACATGGGAAAAACAAAGCAATCCCAGGATTTTTTCAAACATATCTTCATAACAATTCTTTGTTCTGAAAGAGTTCACACGATACTTTCTTTAATAGAAACGAACCGTTACAATTTCTGCCATCTCCTACAAAACCACTTTTACATGAACAAGTGTAGTTGCCAACTGTGTTTGTACAAGACGCGTTAGAGTGACAAGTATGAGCATTGGTTGAGCATTCGTCAACATCTAAGAACAAATATGAGATACACTTAAAAATTGCCACTGTAATTAAGAAACAAACTTCTCATAACTCTATAAAAAAACATACAAAATTAGGTTTTTAATATCATCGCAATTTAAAACCAGCATAAATTGCCTAGGAGATTCAGTATATAAAGAACATGATATTTTCCAGAAAATAAGGTATAATCCCAAGTTTATAGATAGGAATACCTTACATGCATTTAAAAAAGAGGAAGATTAACAAAGGACACATGGCCAATACGAAACAATTCCATGATGTTTTAAACAGAAGTTCATAACTCATTTTTCTTTTTCAATTGTACACGTGACATTTTGTAAGAGTAGATACAAACCTGTACAATTTCTCCCATCTCCAACAAAACCACTATTACATGAACAAGTGTAGTTGCCAACTGTGTTTGTGCAAGACGCGTTAGAGTGACAAGTATGAGCATTGGTTGAGCATTCGTCAACATCTAAGAACAAATATGAGATACACTTAAAAATTGCCACTGTAATTAAGAAACAAACTTCTCATAACTCTATAAAAAAAACATACAAAATTAGGTTTTTAATATCATCGCAATTTAAAACCAGCATAAATTGCCTAGGAGATTCAGTATATAAAGAACATAAAATTTTCCAGAAAATAAGGTATAATCCCAAGTTTAAATATAGGAATACCTTACTTGCATTTAAAAAAGACGAAAATTAACAAAGGACACATGGCCAATACGAAACAATTCCATGATGTTTTAAACAGAAGTTCATAACTCATTTTTCTTTTTCAATTGTACACGTGACATTTTGTAAGAGTAGATACAAACCTGTACAATTTCTCCCATCTCCTACAAAACCACTATTACATGAACAAGTGTAGTTGCCAACTGTGTTTGTACAAGAGGCGTTTGAGTGACAAGTGTGAGCATTGAGTAAGCATTCCTCAACATCTAAAAACAAATATGAAATACATTTAAAATGATATCACAATTACGAATTCTATAACAGGAATTAACAAAATAAAGTTTTCAACATCATGTCAATTAAAAAACAACATGTATTCGTCAAGAGAATCAATAAAGGAAAGAACAGAACATGTTTCTACAAAATAAGATACAAAATCAACATTGAATAAAGGAATACCTTACAAGCATTAAAACCAACACGAAAATTACCAAAGGACACGTGGGAAAAACAAAGCAATCCCAGGATTTTTTTAAACAGATCTTCATAACAATTTTTTGTTCTGAAAGATTTCACACGATACTTTCTTTAATAGAAACGAACCGTTACAATTTCTGCCATCTCCTACAAAACCACTATTACATGAACAAGTGTAGTTGCCAACTGTGTTTGTACAAGACGCGTTAGAGTGACAAGTATGAGCATTGGTTGAGCATTCGTCAACATCTAAGAACAAATATGAGATACACTTAAAAATTGCCACTGTAATTAAGAAACAAACTTCTCATAACTCTATAAAAAAACCATACAAAATTAGGTTTTTAATATCATCGCAATTTAAAACCAGCATAAATTGCCTACGAGATTCAGAATATAAAGAACATGATATTTTCCAGAAAATAAGGTATAATCCCAAGTTTATAGATAGGAATACCTTATATGCATTTAAAAAAGACGAAAATTAACAAAGGACACATGGCCAATACGAAACAATTCCATAATTTTTTAAACAGACGTTCATAACTCATTTTTGTTTTTAAATTGCACCCATGATATTTGTAAGGGTAGATACAAACCTGTACAATATCTGCCATCCCCTACAAAACCATCATTACATGAACAAGTGTAGTTGCCAACTGTGTTTGTACAAGAGGCGTTTGAGTGACAAGAATGCGCGTTGGTTGAGCATTCGTCAACATCTAAGAACAAATATGAGATACACTTAAAAATTGCCACTGTAATTAAGAAACTAACTTTTCTGAACTCTATAACAAAAAATAAACAAAATTAGGTTTTTAATATCATCTCAATTTAAAACCAGCATAAATTGGCTAGGAGAATAAGTATAGAAAGAACATGATTTTTTTCAAGAAAATAAGGTACAATCCCAACTTGAAATAAAGGAATAACTGACTTGTATTTGAAAAAAGACAAAAATTAACAAAGGACACATGAACAATACGAAACAATTCCATAATTTTTTAAAAAGACGTTCATAACTCATTTTTGTTTTTAAATTGCACCCATGATATTTGTAAGGGTAGATACAAACCTGTACAATATCTGCCATCCCCTACAAAACCATCATTACATGAACAAGTGTAGTTGCCAACTGTGTTTGTACAAGACGCGTTTGAGTGACAAGAATGCGCATCGGTTGAGCATTCGTCAATATCTAAGAACAAATATGAGATACATTTAAAATGATATCACAATTACGAATTCTATAACAGGAATTAACAAAAGAAGTTTTCAACATCATGTCAATTAAAAAAAACATGTATTCGTCAGGAGAATCAATAAAGGAAAGAACAAAACATGTTTCTACAAAAAAGGTACAAAATCAACATTGAATAAAGGAATACTTTACAAGCATTAAAACCAACACGAAAATTACCAAATGACACATTGGAACAACAAAGCGATCCCAGGATTTTTTTAAACAGATCTTCATAACAATTTTTTGTTCTGAAAGAGTTCACACGATACTTTCTTTAATAGAAACGAACCGTTACAATTTCTGCCATCTCCTACAAAACCACTATTACATGAACAAGTGTAGTTGCCAACTGTGTTTGTACAAGACGCGTTTGAGTGACAAGAATGCGCGTTGGTTGAGCATTCGTCAACATCTAAGAACAAATATGAGATACACTTAAAAATTGCCACTGTACTAAAGAAACTAAATTCTCTGAACTCTATAACAAAAAATAAACAAAATTAGGTTTTTAATATCATCTCAATTTAAAACCAGCATAAATTGGCTAGGAGAATAAGTATAGAAAGAACATGATTTTTTTCAAGAAAATAAGGTACAATCCCAACTTGAAATAAAGGAATAACTGACTTGTATTTGAAAAGAGACAAAAATTAACAAAGGACACATGGCCAATACGAAACAATTCCATAATTTTTTAAAAAGACGTTCATAACTCATTTTTGTTTTTAAATTGCACCCATGATATTTGTAAGGGTAGATACAAACCTGTACAATATCTGCCATCCCCTACAAAACCATCATTACATGAACAAGTGTAGTTGCCAACTGTGTTTGTACAAGACGCGTTTGAGTGACAAGAATGCGCATCGGTTGAGCATTCGTCAATATCTAAGAACAAATATGAGATACATTTAAAATGATATCACAATTACGAATTCTATAACAGGAATTAACAAAAGAAGTTTTCAACATCATGTCAATTAAAAAAAACATGTATTCGTCAGGAGAATCAATAAAGGAAAGAACAAAACATGTTTCTACAAAAAAGGTACAAAATCAACATTGAATAAAGGAATACTTTACAAGCATTAAAACCAACACGAAAATTACCAAATGACACATTGGAACAACAAAGCGATCCCAGGATTTTTTTAAACAGATCTTCATAACAATTTTTTGTTCTGAAAGAGTTCACACGATACTTTCTTTAATAGAAACGAACCGTTACAATTTCTGCCATCTCCTACAAAACCACTATTACATGAACAAGTGTAGTTGCCAACTGTGTTTGTACAAGACGCGTTTGAGTGACAAGAATGCGCGTTGGTTGAGCATTCGTCAACATCTAAGAACAAATATGAGATACACTTAAAAATTGCCACTGTACTAAAGAAACTAAATTCTCTGAACTCTATAACAAAAATATACACAATAAGGTTTTTAATATCATCTCAATTTAAAACCAGCATAAATTGGCTAGGAGACTAAGTATAGAAAGAACATGATTTTTTTCAAGAAAATAAGGTACAATCCCAACTTGAAATAAAGGAATAACTGACTTGTATTTGAAAAAAGACAAAAATTAACAAAGGACACATGGCCAATACGAAACAATTCCATAATTTTTTAAAAAGACGTTCATAACTCATTTTTGTTTTTAAATTGCACCCATGATATTTGTAAGGGTAGATACAAACCTGTACAATATCTGCCATCCCCTATAAAACCATCATTACATGAACAAGTGTAGTTGCCAACTGTGTTTGTACAAGAGGCGTTTGAGTGACAAGAATGCGCGTTGGTTGAGCATTCGTCAACATCTAAGAACAAATATGAGATACACTTAAAAATTGCCACTGTAATTAAGAAACTAACTTTTCTGAACTCTATAACAAAAAATAAACAAAATTAGGTTTTTAATATCATCTCAATTTAAAACCAGCATAAATTGGCTAGGAGAATAAGTATAGAAAGCACATGGTTTTTTTTCAAGAAGAATGAAGGTACAGATCAACTTGAAATAAGGGAAAATAACTGACTTGTATTTTGAAAAAGACAAATTACAAAGGACACATGGCTCAATACGAAACAATTCCATAATTTTTTTAAAAGACGGTTCATATATTTCATTTTTGTTTCAAATTCGCACCATGATATTTGTAAAGGGTAGATACAGAACCTGTACAATATCTGCATCCTACAAACCATCATTATGAACAAGTGTAGTTGCAACTGTGTTTGTACAAGACGCGTTTTGAGTGACAATGCGCATTGGTTGAGCATTTCGTCAAAATATTAAGAACAAATATAGAGATACATTTAAAATGATATCAGCAATTACGAATTTCTAATATACAGGAATTAACAAAAGAAGTTTTTCACAAAATCAGTACAATTAAAAAAAACAATGTTATTTCGTCCAGGAGAATGTCAATAAAGGAAAGAACAAAACATGTTTCTACAAAACGGTACAGAAATCCCACATTGATAAAGGAATACTTTAAAAGTCATTAAAACCAACAAACAACAATTACAAGTGACACATTGGAACAACAAAGGCGATCCAGGATTTTTTTTAACAGATCTTTCATTAACAATTTTTTTTGTTCTGAAAGAGTTCACGACGATCTTTCTTTAATAGAAATCGAACCGTTTACAATTTCTTGCCTATCTCCTACAAACCAACTATTAGCCATGAGGCAAGTGTAGTGGCCAACTGTGTTTGTACAAGACGCGGTTTGAAGTGGACAAGAATGCGCGTTGGTTGAGCATTCTGTCAACATTCTAGAACAAAATGACGATAACTTAAAATTGCCACTGTTACTATAAGAACTAATTCTTCTGACTCTCATAACAAAAATATTAACAATAGGTTTTGTAATATCATCTCAGATTTAAACCAGCTAAAATTGGCTAGGAGAATAAGTATGAGAAAGACATGATTTTTTTCAAGAAATAGGTACAATCCAATCTTGAAATAAAGGAATAACTGATGTTATTTGAAAAACAGACAAAAAACTTAACATAAGGAACATGGCGATACAAAACATTCCAGATAATTTCTTTAAAAGACGTTCATAACTCTTTTGTTTTTGAAATTGGCATCCATGAGTATATTGTAAGGGTAGATACAAACTGTACAATATCTGCCAGTCCCCTACAAGAACCATCATTACATGAACACAGTGTAGTTGGCCAACTGGGTGGTTTGTACAAGAGGCCGTCTTGAGTGACAAGAATGCGCGTTGGTTGAGCATTCGTCAACATCTAAGAACAAATATGAGAACCGATTAAAAAATTGCCACTGTAACTTAAGAAACTAACTTTCTGAACTCTAATAAAAATAACAAAATTAGGTTTTAATATCATCTCAAATTTAAAACCAGCATAAATTGGGCTAGAGACATAGTATGAAACAGAACATGGTTTTTTTTAAGAAATAAGGTACAATCCCACTTGAAAATAAAGGAAATAACTGAAACTTGTATTGAAATAAAGACAAAAATTAACAAAGGAACATGGCAATACGAAACAATTCCATAATTTTTTTAAAAGACGTTATACTCATTTTGTTTTTTACATTGCCCCATGGAATTTGTACAGGGTAAGACTACAAACCTGTACAATTCTGCCATC